GGCCTCTGATGGGCCAGGCCCGGGCAGGGGCCGCTTTCCCGAAGCCGCGTCCGGGAGGCTGCGAGGAGGCGGGAGGCCGCGGGGTTGCCGGGAGGCGGGACGAGGCTGCAAGACCTTGGTCGGGGGAGGGACCGGGCTTGCTCCGGGTCGGGGGCCCAAGAAAGCGCGCGTGGAGCGGTTGGAAGGGAGGGCAAGGGCGGCGGGAGGGTGCTCTTGGCGTCTGGTACTGTTTTGTGCGGGAATGGCCCTGGGCGGGGAGGGAGACCTGGTCAGCTGCGGGGGTTACGGCCAGGACTCCAGGCTCGGTATTTGTCGTGCTGTTAAGGGGAAGGATGTCCTAAAGGAACTCTGCAGAGTTTTGTGGACACCGCCCCTTTTTAAGCGCGGCTGAGGGCCCACACACAGGCAGCCCATTTCACACTGGGGTGCCCTGCAACAGTGCCATTCTGCTTTCTGCTGCTTTTTTCTCTGAGGGCTAATCTGTAAAGTGCTTTGTAGACACACAAGTCATTAACAGTTTTCCCAATAGGAACAACATGGAAGGAGAACCAAGCTGCCTGGAAGGCCACACTCCCCATCTTGCCAAGAGAAAGAAAAAGCATTCTGTCCATAAGGAAGGGCATCACAGGCACCCCCACAAAGGTGTCAGAGACCCACTCCTAGCAGAGGAGCTGCCTCACACAGCCAAGAGTCAGAAAAAGAGGAAGCGTTTGCAGGATCTCCTTTCTCCCACACTGGAAATCCCAGAGCCCTGTGACGAGACCGAGCAGGTCACGGCCATGTCTCTGCCCAAAAAAAAGAAAAAAAGAAGAACCAGTGTCATGGGTGTAGACGATGCAACGGGCGTGACCTGTGTCCTGGTGGATCAGGAAAACACAGAGAACCCGTGGAAGAGCTTGGAAAAGGATGTCGATGTGGTTTACATTGATGCCAGTCAGCAGCAAAAGGCGCCAGAGAAGCTGAAGGCCGTCAAGCCACTTCCGCTTACTGAGTCACAAAAGATCCGGGCAGAAGAAGAGTGTGATGCCGTAAAGGCAAGAAAGCATAAAAAGCATCGGAAGAAAGTCGCCTCCCACAAAACTGGCCAAGAAAACCCCCGTGGAGGCCTCAGCCTGCCCGTGTCCACATCACCCCAGCAGGAACCCCTGCTGCCTGGGGGTCCAGGTGGTGAAATGGCACCATTGCTGGTGTCACCTAAGAAAAGCAAGACTAAGAAAAAAAAAAGAAAAATTTCAAAGAATCAGGAGGGTGACGTGAGGGTCAGGCCTGAGAGTCCTGAGCCGCTGTGCGTGGAAGCATTGTCAGCAGCCGGTGAGGCTGGGGCCGAGGGAGGGGGAGGCAGGAAGGAGCCCAGGAGTCAAAAGAAAAAGCGGAAGAAGAGGAAGCAGGGGTCTGTTGCGGGCATCCCGGCAGCGGGTGATGACGAGCGCTGGGATGGTACAGCCTGGGGCCCTCCCGGAGGTGCTGGTGCCGGGTGTGGGCCCAGTGTGAAGCCCAGGCCAGAGGAGCAGAGCCCGGCCGGCTGGCAAGAGGCGCCAAGGTGAGTGAGAGTGTTGTGGGTGCCGATCTTGTACCATGAGGGGAACCTGCAGGGCAGTGCAGCGTGCGCCGACCCCCCTGGGCGTTAGCCTCCTCGCCACGTAGGTAAATGAGGGGCCCCTGTAGATTTCCACTCAGCATGATTTTGGTCCTGAAAGTCTCTGACAAAGTTTTAAAAGGCGTTTTAGCACCCAAAAAGCACCTTTTGTTTGTCTCTGCATAGGGATCAAGGAAAGGAAAGGATTAGTGTGTTTTTTTAAAAATATTTTATTTATGCATATAGAACTGGGGTACAGTCCAGAAGTGCAGGGTTTGAGAGTCTTCCCCAGAGGCAGTGGAGCAGAACAAGCAGATGGACTGAAACACACTGCCGAGGGGAGCAGCGGGGAGCAGCGGGGAGACGGAAGAGGTCTGCTGAGCCCTGTGGGTCCCTCCTTGGTCAGGGGCCGAAGTCAGGCTGCGGGGCTGTGGACAGCTTCCCAGTGCCGAGACTGTAACCCCTTGTGCCACCAGGGAGGCCCCGAGAAAAGGATTAGACGACCTGGAATGTGACAGGACAGGGACAAGTGTAAGTCAGGCACTTCCCAGTGCCGTTAGCTGGTGTGGTCACACAGAGCATTTGTAAAAACCATTTTGTTTCTGTTTCTACGGCCTGGGGCAGAGGCTCTTTCCCTTTTTACTCAGTGTCTTTCTTCTCTGTTGTTAAGTTGTCCTGTTTCATGCAGATTTGAAGGGGGGTGGCCCTTTCAGGGGCTGTTGCTCTCACAGAGCCCTCCCGCTGTCCTCACTTAGTCTCAGCTCGCAGCTGGGCTGGCCTGGCCGTGGCCCCTGGGTGCTATGGGCCCCTGGGTGCTGTGGGCCCGTTGTAGAGACATCTGAGCTGGCTTTGCCCTGTATCTGGTCTACACGGCAGCCAGTGCTGGAGCGTAGGCGACAAGGGTCCGAGTGTGGCCTGCGTTAGTGGTAGACACCGGCAATGAAGGGAAGGGGACAAAGTAGCCATTTCGAACTGACCATGCAACCCCTGAGTAGCTGGCTCTGTAATTAGTAACCATGGTGTTGCAAAGTTTAACTCCCCAGGCTCTTTGGGAAGGAGGTGTCTGGCTGTTACCAGCAACCTCTGAGGAGCCGCCTTTGTAATTAGTAGCCATGTTGTTGCAAAGTTTAACTCCCGGGGCATTCCTGAGGGGCTGTCTGGAAGAAAGTGGCTTAGTTAGAGACACCCACAGTGCAGAGAGAGTGCAACACTGTCGGGATGGCTCAGAGCCAAGTTAGCACAGGCGAGGCCGCTTAAGAGAGTCTCCAAGGCTCTCACATTAGGGCCCCCCCCAGCTTAGAGCCTGAGGATGAAGAGGATTGCGCCCTAGAGTCCAGAGGCGCCGAAACACCTCCCTGCTTGGACGACTCGAGAGCCTCTGACGGCCCGGACGTGGACGTGGGCTTGGACTCCGCCACCAGGCAGCTGCAGGAGTTCATCCCCAGCATCAAGGACCGCGCCGCCACCACCATTAAGCGAATGTACCGGGACGACCTGGGCCGGTTTAAAGAGTTTAAAGCACAGGGTGAGCTGGGGGGACTTGGGGGTTGTGCGAACGTCCCGTGGGGCAACTCACACCCGACCTCGGGGAGAAGGTCAGGCTGGTGGCCTAAGAAGCGTCCTCGCGGGAGGCAGCGGGTGGCACGGCTCTGCCTCCCCGGCCGCCGTTTCCCGGCCTGTGGCGGAACGCGGGCACTGTTGTCCTCTGCTCAGCTGCCGGGGGAGGCCCGGAAGGTGGGGCGAGAAGAGCTCTGTTGACAGGACAAAGCGAGGGCGACACAGCGCTAGAGCAGTGTTTCTAGAAGGAGCTGTTCTCCGCTGGCAGCTTAGTGAGCGTGTAGTTCGTGAAAGATAGCGGAAGCAAGTCTGAGACCACAACATGCCGTCAGGCCCAGAGCAAGCCGAGGCGGGCCTGGGGTGCCCGCCGGCCGGGGCCCTCGGCGGAGCGCCCTGTGTGAACTTTGCCTGAACGTGTGTTCCTTTTTAATATCAAAACACGATGTTTTCAAGAGAGACTGATGGCCTAGGAAGGCCACTGGGCCAGGTGACCAGGGCGGCTTTGGGAGAGCGGCGCGTGGAGCTCAGACCCGCCTCAGCAGGAGGCTCGCGCTGGCAGCGCCCGGTGCTCACTGCGGCAGACCACGTGGTAGGTTTGTGTTTATTCATGATATTCTCCCTCCCACCCCCAAATCCTAGGTGTCGCTATTAGATTTGGCAAGTTTTCTGCAAAGGAAAATAAGCAGTTAGAACAAAACGTGCAAGAATTCCTGTCCCTAACAGGAATTGAGAATGCGGACAAGCTGCTGTACACGGACAGATACCCGGAGGAGAAATCCGTCATCACCAACCTGAAGAGGAAATACGCATTTCGGGTGCACATTGGTGAGTGTAGCCCCCCCGTGCCAGCCGTCAAGGAGGCATCCTGGGTGAGGAGTGGTGGCCGGCGGTGAGCGCGCTGAGGGCGTCACCCCGCTGCGTCCCCCCCCCCAGCATGTACATGCCCCCGAGCGTAATGCCGGCCAGGTCTTCTGCCGAGTGAAATAAGCAGCATCTCGGTTGCCTCTTTCGCTTCCTGCAGGCCATGGTGGAGGCCCGGGCCCTTTCCTGCTCCACCTGGGCGCAGCCCAGGCCCCGGGGCCTCCGAAGCCCAGTGTTTTAGGGGCGTCTGCGTGGCGCAGCTGAGCTCTCCTGGAGGCATGCCTCAGGCCTGTGAGCTGCACCGTGTTCCAAGAGGAGATCTCAGGGGTGTTCTGTGGGGCGCACAGGGGAAATGGCAGTGAGCCCCGAGGAGGTTCTACAGAAGGTGGCATTTCTCCTCTCCCCGAGGACGGCTGTCACCCGTCCCCACCTTGACGTGCTTGCCCCTTCGTGTGAAAATTGCTTTGCCCCCCACGAACAGTCCAGAAGCGGGTCTCTGTACTAAGCACGGAGCTCTGCGGAGAAGCGGGATCTTGCGCTCCGCGAGACAGCTTTCTGCAGGGCGCTGAAGTCCCGGGTCCTGGGACGTGGGTGTGCCCCAGGGGCAGTGTGCCTGCTTCCTCTGTGACCCTGATGCCACCGGGTGCCGTGGTCTCTGTGCACCTGACTGTCTCCCTTCTGACTTCAGGTAAGGGCATTGCCCGGCCCTGGAAACTCGTGTATTATCGAGCAAAGAAGATGTTTGATGTCAATAATTACAAAGGCAGGTAAGAAAACAGCCCAAGCCGGGGGCAGCGCGCCCCTTGGCCTTGCTGACATTCTCAGTGGAAACTGTTCGTGGCAGAGCACAAGTTCAGGCAGTGGAGGTCGTCGCGTGACAGCAGAGGGTTCCATTGCGTAAGGGAACCTAGACGTTATTTTCTTAATCTCGGCAAGACCCGGATTACTTCCAGAAAGAAACTGCGAGAAATCATGATTCTATTTATTTTTAAAGATTTATTTATTTATGCACACAGAACTAGGGTACAGGCCAGAGTGCAGGGGTGGTGAGAGGTTTCACCAGAGAGAGAGCGGGGAGCAGAACAGGCCGACTGACAGAGTGCACTGCTGAGGGGAGCAGCGGGCGGGTCAGGAGAGGTCTGCCGCGCCCTGTGGTCACCTCCGGGGCAGGCGGGAATCGAACTCATGCGGAAGTGGCTTTTTAGCTTCTTAGTGCTGTGCTTTAACCTGCTGCGCCACCAGGGAGGGCTGAAATCATGATTCTTTTTGGGGTTTTTCTGTTTTTTTTTTTTTCCTCCACCCCCTCCATGTGCCAATTTTCACAGAACTCCCCTGCAATGAAAACAAGGAAGCTGAAGATGCCAAGGCAAGCCAGCCCAGCGCCAGCAGTGTCCCCACAGGGGCCAGGCCTGGGTCTGGGGTCCGGTCAGCCCGAGGGAGTGAAAGCCAGTGCAGGACAGGGTGGGGGCAGAGGCTCGCCCTCTTCGGCCCAAGGGGCTTCTGCACCAGGGACCCCCAACAGGACCAGAGTCTGAGAAGTGGTATTGGTTGGCCTGGAAAAAGAACAGCTTCCTGTGGGCTTCCGGGAACTGGACCCCACGTTCCTGCAGACCAGACCTGGGCCCGGCTCTGGATGAGGCGTGGGCGGCCTGGAAACGGTCTGTGTGCCCGCTTGGCCTGAGGCACTGGTGCCCCGCTGTCCTGGAGCCACTCAGGGCACGCTTGTCAGCCTTCCTAGGGAGCTGCCTTTGTGATGCCGCTCGAGCGGCGGCAGTGGCAGAGAGGGCTCTTTCCTCACTCGGACATTGAGGTGTTTCACCTGGAATGCACGCAAGCCTTCCAGCGCGCTTCTCAGTTCTTTGACATTTGTTTCCGCGGACAGCCGGGGCCCCTTCGGTTCCGTAGGTAGCACTGCGTGGTCGGGCGCAGCCGCCGCACCCCTATAGGATAACTGCTGGCGGGCAGGCGTCGGGCGCTGTGCTGTAGCAAGCCACAGCACCTGCCCGCAGGAGCCCCCAGCATGCTGCCCGTCAGGGTGGCCCCGGCCCCCGGCAGCCGGGCGCAGAGTCGTCCAGTGGCAAAGGGCCGAAGTGCCTGTGGCTCTAGACGTCTGGTGCCAACAGCGGGCGAAAATGCCTCCTTATCCTTAGGGTGCCCATCCATGGAGAGGTGATGGCATATTCAGGCCTTTTAGTTCAACAAACTATATTGCTCAGTTTTTTTTTAAGTGTGCTTCCACGTGAGCACCGGGAAGTCTCGGGGCAGCCGGCTCAGGTTTCTGTTGGCCCCGCTGGTCTGGAGGAAGAGACATAAGCCAGGAGCCCCACAGATCCATGCTTGGAGGGGTGCGAGTGCAGGCTGCTTCTTGGGCGCCCTGAGCGCAGGTCTCCAGGGAGCGGGTACGCTGAGGCTGAGGCCGAAGGGCTGAGCGCTCCTGGGCACCAGCCGCTCTGCGGGGAGGCGGAGCCAGGACTGGGGCTGAGGGGTCCCGGCCTGGACACAAGTTCGAGGTGCGTGGGTTACGGTGCGGTGTGACGCCTGTCGGGGGTGGGTGCGAGATGAGCCCTTGACTCGTGGCTCTGACCTGGTCTCACCCACCCGGGCCCGGGCAGCGATGGGGCTACGGGATGAGCGCCGCTGACACGATGTGCTGGTCACGGCTGACCGACGGGGCTCCCGACCGCTAATCCCGCCCCCGTCGTCACAGCCCGCTGCTGGGGGGGCAGCCGAATCCGCCGTGACGGGCTGTGGCGGGCTGTGACGGGCTTTCCCTTTCGCTCAGGTACAGCAAAGGCGAGCTGGAGAAGCTGAAGATCTACCACTCCCTCCACGGGAACGACTGGAAGAAGATTGGCGAGATGGTGGCTCGCAGTAGCCTCTCGGTGGCCCTCAAGTTCTCCCAGATCAGCAGCGGTAAGCACTGCCTCTGGCGCCCACGCCCAGGCCGTGGGGTTGAGGCCGCAGCCCCCGCCCTGGGGCCGAGGGGGCCTCCGGTGGCTGGTCTTTTAAAGTTCTTTTACAGTCTAGATTTTTTTTTTCTTGGAAATTTCTGAATTTTGAAATATTGAAGTTATGGGGGTGGGGGACCAGCCAAAGATAGGCGCGGGCTGCCGGTTCCAGGACTGTGGGCTGTCGACGAGGGGTGAGCGCCCCACGGAGGAGGGCTGCGGGAAGTCCCCACGGGGGCCGTGTTGGTGTCGTGGCGGCTGGGAGCGTCACGCTCAGAACACGGGGGTGGGGGGCGCTGTGCGTAGTGTCGCCGACATCCGTTTGCCCCGTGAGGCTGCACGGTGCCCGGATGCGCACGTTCCTCTCGCAAGCCGCTCTGCCAGCACGGGGCTCGTGTTGTGTTTGCGCGGTGTCGCCCGCAGTTGGCTGAAGGGTCGAGACCCGCGCAGCTTAGAGCTCCTGGCACCACCCAGGGACTGTGCTGGCATGTCTGGGTGTCCCAGCGCCCAGAGCTGTTGCTTAGCGCTCACGTAGGGCCGTGGGTGCGGACAGACGCCCCTCGACAGGCGCCCGTCAGCCGCATCCGGGCGTGAGGTTCTGTTTGAAAGGACTTGCTTTATGTCCATAGATCGAAATCACGGCACTTGGAGTAAGGCGGAGACCCAGAAGCTAGTCAAGGCCGTCGAAGAAGTGATTCTGAAGAGAATGTCTCCCCAGGAGTTAAAGGAGGTGGACTGCAAGCTTCAGGAGCACCCCGAAGGTTGCCTGTCCATCGTCCGGGAGAAGCTTTACAAGGGCATTTCGTGGGTGGAGGTGGAGGCCAAGGTGGAAACCAGGAACTGGATGCAGTGCAAGAGCAAGTGGTGAGTCGGTGTCCAGCCCCTGCAGGGTGGACGGCTGCTGCGGCGCCCCGGGGCCCTCTGTCAAGGGGAGCACTCACGGGGAGGTCACCCTGGCCGACCTCACTTGGCACGCGTCTGGCCCTGGGTGGTTTATGACGTCCTCACGCAGACGTGATCCTGTCCGTACTGAATACCGACCGCGGGTCTCCAGTCCGTCCCTTTCTAGGCCTCTGGTCAAACCAGGTGGCATCTGTCTGCCGGAGGCGGCGGGCCGTGGGCTCTGCTTGGGCGCAGCACAGGTCGTGCCGTAGCGGGCCGTGGTGGTGGGGGCAGTGAGGCGCCTCGCGGCCTGATGCCGCTTCCCGGGAGCCGGGGGCCCGGCCGCCCCCGGCCCGTGGATGCTACCGTGACTGAGCGTCTAGGAACCGGGGGCATCCAGCCTTGGCAAAGTTTCGGCTCGGTGCTGAAACCAGATTTGCAGACCGATAGCCTGGCCGAGAAGTTCAGTGTGAACGTGGCAGGCCCAGTGAACTGAGCGTGTAAATGCCAGTCGGCGAGGTCCAGTCTAGCCTGCACTAATAGCATCCTGCCCTCTGCGTTCACTGAGGTGCTGCTGGGCTTGGGGACGAGCAGAAGTGTCTGTGGCCTCTTACCCCCGGCTCTGTGTGGGGTTATTGTCGTGAGTTATTCAGAATAAAGTGGTTTTCTTCAAAAAAAAAAAAAAACAACCCAGCAAGTGTGACTGACCCCGGGCCTCTGGCGCTGGCCATCTTGTGCTGGGCCAGCTGGAGCACGGGCCGCCCGACCGGGCGGGGCTGACGCGCAGGACGGGCGCTTTCGAGGCCTCTTAGGCTGCGGCCGCTCCCGCCTCCAGCGGCCCCGAGCGGGCTCAGCGACTAGTGCTCCCGAGGCCGGTGTCCGGCCACGGTGTGTGGGAGTAAGAGCAGCGTGCGTTCTGGCTTTTCTTTTTAAACGGTCGGGAAGAAGCGGCCCCTCCGCTGCGTCCCTTCTTTCGCGTCTGCGGAACGCCCCTTTGTTACCCCACCTGTAACAATTTCTCTTACGGAGATCAGCGCTGAGCCCCTCGCAGCCTCCGTCCAGCTCCAGCGCCCATCAGCTTCCTCCCGTTTTACTTGTCCTTTCCCACCGCCCCCTAGGTAAGTGCACAGTGTGGGTATGGACTGTTGCTGAGCTGCAGAAGTTACAGAGTGAGGGGCCTGGGGCCTCCCCGGCGGCCTAGGGGCTCGTCTCGGCGCTATCGCCGCCGGGTTGAGTCCAGTCCCCGGCCAGGGAGCGACCCCCAGGGCGCGGCGGACCTCTCCTGTCCCCGCTGCCCCCTCAGCAGTGGACTTCGTCAGTCTGCCCGATCTGCGCCCCACGCTGTCTCTGGGGCGTCCTCTCACCCCCTGCACCGCTGGCCTGCACGCCAGTTCTGTACACACACATTTACAAAGCTAGAAAGTGGGTCTGAATGAGGGAAATTCAGGTGAGAAAAGTATAGAAAACCTGCCTGGAAGCCTTTGGAGGTGAACTGTTTTCCTTTCTTTTGCCCTAGGACAGAAATTCTCACCAAGAGGATGACGAACGGCCGGGAAGTGTACCGTGGCGTTAATGCCCTGCGGGCCAAAATCAGCCTGATCGAAAGGTGCGGAGGCGGCAGGCGCGCGAGCTGCCTCCCTGCGGGCGCTCGGCAGGTCCAGGCGCGCGGGGCTGCCTCCCTGCGGGCGCTAGGCAGGTCCAGGCGCGCGTTGCTCTCTGCTCAGTCATCCCAGGTGTTCGCTGGCCTTGCCCGTGTGTGACT